CTTCGTGTGGTCTAAGGACTTCAAAGACCCACAACTTGCTTCGCAATGCGAACCACTGTGGACGGATCTTTTCGGCAATTCGACGGCCAAGAATCGTCATGCAGAACGCTTTACGGTACTTAGCGGAGAACAAATTGTACAAAATAGGGTTTATGGCGGAGTTGGAGTAGTAACAGCATCCTTAACACATGAATATGAGCTTCGGCTGCTTCTGAAGTGGCTATCGAGCTAAGGTAAGTGAAATACCTGAGATGTAGTAGACAAGAGAGAACAGGACCTCTACTGCCGGCGAAACTTGGCCTTCATAATAGCTGATGAAAAGCGAAAGAAGCCGTTGAATGTGGAACGGCAACCAACAGATGAAGAACGAAACCACCACAGAAACTGAAAAGGAGACTCGAACTGAAAGGTTAGCAAGTCGTCGCAACAGCATAATGTGCTTGTTGGATGAATGGGGCGGAATGTCGCAGGAGAAAATGGGAATGTTCGGTTCCTTTTGAGACCTTTATAGCTCATAATATTTCTCAGTAAGTACCGCCCAGTTAGAGAACGCTCCGCCCATCGCGAGTCTCCCCACTTCACCACGGAAATACTTGGCACAGCTCCGCCCACTTTTTCCCGGTATCTAGGCTGATCAAAAAATGAATCCAAATCGTCATCGGCACCGTTGTTCGGTGCACGACCGGCCGCCTTGGCCGAGGATACACCGGCCGATGTGTGTTTCGTGTTTCTTGATCCCTATCCCACCTACCCCAAAATTGGCCATGCTTCTCCAGCTAGTTCTACAAGTGATATCGAGTTTAGTGACAGATGAACAGACACATTCACGGGCAGACCTAGCGCTTCCAACACAATAGGATTCTTTTACGAATTTTTGTAAGGTTTCACTCACTCAGCATCTTGGTGACGGTTGGTGTTGACTTTGTCTTCATCTGCTTCTTGTCGACACAAAGCAAAGAATCCCTGGACGCTATTCGTGTTCCAATTTGACAGTACATCATGGTGATAAGAATGGCTACAATGATAACATCAATAAGTGTTCTCTTATCACAGACGTGATCTCTGCTCACCAGGTGCCAGGAAAAACGCGATGAACGCAAAATAGATGAGACGTTTCTGTTGCTCCGGTTGATCGACGTCCATCGCACAGAACTGCGTGTTCTTCAGAGTCTTGCCGTCTTCTGATACCTTAATGATATCTGGTAAAAAGGAAGTTTTACAACAACGCGAACATTCAGTCAGACTTTTAGGCCACCGAACAACGATCAACATGGGCGGAAACTTTGACCGTACAGAAGTAAACATTCAAATTCGGTTCAAAAAACCTTTAGGGTAGTGATTATGACGACTGGAAAGCGTTGCGATTCTGATGGCATGGTAGGACGTCATCGGTGGCAAGACGTCAACATAGAGCTAGAGAGAAGACAAGCCCGCGCAGTGTAGGATCACTAATTACGAAATGATGAGCCATCAGAATGACCAAAGGCCCTAGCGGTCATCGGTATCGCTGCCTTTAATAGTGGTAAGGGTATTACTGCGATTCGTACCACGCTGATTTGAGGCCAATCGGAGTGGTCAGACGATTAGATCTTCACATAATCCATGGGCATAGCGGAGACGGCCGAGATTGTCCACATGACGATGATCGTCAAATAGGCTCGTGATATTTTTGGCGAGGACTGAGATCGTAGCGGGTGACTGAAATGAAAAATTCGCCATGAATCCAAGACCAATTAAAGATGTATGCTATATTATTCTGACACGGATTAGGCCATAAGGCCAACTGTCGGTAAATAGAGGCGGAAATTTTCTTGAAAAAAGTTCCAAGGGACGGAACTTCCTTAGAAGGCTTAACAGGCAATCATATATGACCCAGTGCACGCATCGTGAAAGCAAAAGTTTCAAAACCCTTCAAGGTGACCATCTAACAAGGTAAAGCATCATGTGGTAGAACGATTTGGACAGGCTATGATATTTGTTGTGTCAGTTGTCGAATCTCCCTTGTTTCATTATGATGTTTTTCGGGGGTATCTCCAGATTTCGCTCAAAGCTCTGCCTCACTTCGCAACTGGCCAAAAAAGGCAAAGCCTTATCCCCAAAGTCGCCATCAGCCCATCACGTGAGCCGCCGTTAACCGCTCGTTTTTCCCGCAGCACTCGCACGGCAGTTTTCCGAATTGTAAACCTTCGTCTCGCCATTATTGTTTCTTCTGATTACGACCCCTTACGGCTCAGGAAAATCGCCAGGGAAAATGGAAACCCTAACCCGCGAGCAAGCGCTCTGATCTAGCTACGCTAAATTCTATATTTATGAGGATTCCCTTATGTGAAATTCAAAGAAATAGCGACCATGAACCTAATCATACTTTTCATGCACAGAGATCTCCTTGGCGTGGAAGATATTGAACCCCAATACTCCACATTCTTCCCACTTCCCGAGCCAGGAACCGTATAAGGAGGGCCACACTGGACTGTTTCTTGCGACGCTTTCGCTTTTCTACGATAAGATGAGTGAAGTTATTGGACCTAACAGCTAGCGCTCTTTTTTTGAGAATAGAAGTCAAAGAAAATTATTAGGAAGGTCTGTATCAGAGATCTTTTGAAGGGAACAGTGAATTGAGCCGAGAGCCATCATTCTTCTTCTTTTCTTCCAGTCATCATAGGAACACCATTTGGGCAGAGCTGGAAGTTGTCAGAAGACTGAACAGCACCTGCCGTACAATTGGACTTGATACTAAGCTACAGTCAGGTGAATAAACCAGGGACGGTAGTAAAGTGGCCTCAACTGCTAGTTCCCACGTAACCATGAGCTCGTGGTAACTTGGTGATGGCTTCCAGACGAAGTTACCCTAAAATATGTATGCGTAGAGCACCTCTAGAACCCCTCCGAAATTCGCCGTCAGAATGGTCGAAGTGAGTTCGAACTCACTCGGAAGTTGGGGGGGGGGGACGACATCACGTGCTAGTAAGAGGATTAGCAGGGTGGTCATCCAAAAACTAACAGCGATGGCGGCAGAGGAAAAGGAAATAGTGCGCGCGCGGTGGAGGGCGCAAACATGCTGCCACTTCATCTCTAAAAAGTCCTCCGGAGGACTTTTTAGAGATGGCCATCTCCAAACAGCCAGGCTGTGTGGGTCAACGCAGTAAGTTGAAAAGGGAAAGGGAAGCACTTGCATTGATTCGTCAATGGTGTAGCGCCTGCGGTCCACGTTGTGTTGGGTCGGTCACGGGATCGATACTACTAGATGTCAAAATCTTTGCAACTTTTGTGGGTTATTGCCTTTTCTCTACAACTCTTTCACCGTCAATAAGAAGGGCTCCATAGTGCAGTGGTAGCGATGCCGCTCATGGGACGAGTGCACCGAAGGTTCAAAACCCGTGATGTGTAGCGGACTTTTGCTAAGCAAGGGTGGATGGCTTCACCACTTCACCTATGGCAATATTGCCAATTAGGCATTCCAATGGAGACGTTGCCATCGTGCCGCTGGCGAAGGATGCTTGGGATCCCTTCAGTGAGCGAAGCCGAGTGTTTTCTCTTGTGCAGTGGCAAAAGACCTTAGGCCCTACCATCCAGGGCTCAAGTCCGAGAGGATGCAAGTTTTGCAGGTCGTGTGGCGAGGCTGGCGGTTTCAACTAGGGTCATGTCCACGTTTCCACGTTCTCTACTCCTCGCCAATGGGTGTAAATCACCACATTTGATTGCCAGTCTAGGGCACTTTACTACCGCCCCAGCAGTTATTAGGGCGTTCGCTGCGTTATAGTGGTCTCTATCTCTTTATGACTCCACTTTTGATATGATCAATTCAGTTTATCACTGGATCATACATGCGCATGTAATAAACTGAATTCTTACCAATATGGCCAGCCATCGTTCACAGTAACGAGCAGATAACAGTATGCGGAGAGCGTCGCTGGTGATGATGTCGATGAGGTGAACTCGCCATTTGAGATGCCATTCGTCGAACGTCATCACGGATAAGGGCGAAATCGAAGCACCAGGGAGAAAGGACCCGTAAAAGTTCCATGGAAGGACCTGAAGCAAACTGCAAAGATGAAACCTAGAAGAGAAATCTAACTAGAAATAAGCGTACCTAAGGAAAGGACCAAAAGGTCCGAGAGCGCTAAACTGAACAGGTAGAAATTGGTATGTGTGTGCATTGACTTGTTCCGAATGATCACCACACATGTGCAAATATTCCCCACAGTTCCAATAATGAATATCAACGAGTAGGTGATTACCGTCGGAATAACGATCGCCTTCTGAAATAATCTCACTACGTCATTGAACGGTCGAAGTTCTATGTAGCTGTTCGTTTTTCTCTTGGACGTAAGAAAACGTGACTCTCGTATGCTATCAGAGATCGGATTAATCCCACCAGCTGCTTAGCACAAAGTGGCGACAAGTCAGTTCAGAGTAGCGTCAGGTTCAGTGAAGCGATTTGAGCGCTATTCCACCGAAGAGATTAGATATTCGCTCATTGTTTGGGGCACGTTCTGTGGTATGACCGCAGATCTTTCGTGCAGTTCGCGAAACGAAGCTGATACAAAGCTACAGAGCAAGGTAAATTGTATGTACGTTGGGCCAGAATTAGCGGAGCGGGTCTCGGTGAAAGTAGCCGCAGCCCAACAGACAAGTCAAATAAGGAAAAGGTGTCAAAACATTCGCCCATCTTACGGTTCATCAGCGGCATCGGAACAGGATGGTCAGATTATCATTGATTATTTATTATCTGTAGTAAACATAAAACAACATCAACCACCAAATTTCATAGCAATTTCTTATGAAAATGTAAAAATGTAAAATTTATGTAAAAAAAAGTGCAAAACTAAACAGAAATATACAAGTAATTGCAAAAGGATGATGTTATTAAGGGAGGATTCCACAATAAGAACGAAGGTCCAAGAATGGGAAAGTGGAGAAACAGGCGGACCCCCTAAAGGTGCGGACCAGCACATAATTCACATCAAAAGATATGCCGCCGATCAAACGAGGCCTTCCCTTTCGCGCAGTTGGCGCGGACGCCCACCCACACAGCAGAGAGAGCGTTAGCATTGAAGAGGGCACGATGAGAGTCGCATCAATGCGGAAATCAACGGGCAAGGAAGGGGTCCCATTTCTCGGGTTCCGGGCCGTTTCAATGGTTTCTTCTTCATCCCTGCTTCACTGACCACCTCTACCCTTATTTCCAATAGCTAACTTTTCATCGCAAAATCCGCCTTTGATAGCAATGCAAGCTAATGGAAGCGTACCACATATCAGTGACGTAATGGATAAGCACGGGGCATGAACTTTATACGGCTTTTGCGAGTTACTCCTAGCCAAGGCTGTTTTTTTCTGTTGGTGCTTAAGAAAATATTGCATGATTGTCCATTTGACCACAAAATATTGATGAGCCGGCGTAGCCGAATGCTTTTAGACCTACACCACCGCATATGTTTTTAGACGC